TTGTATTTGTTCATCACTGTTATCCAAAGGATTGGGTTCGCTGCACATTTGACATGTATTCAGGATTGCGTTAACTGTACAACTTATATTAAATCATTACTATTTTTAGGAAATTACCGTTGAATTGTTTCAACGGATAGTAAAGTTCTTTAAAATATTATCAAATGTTATTCATATAGATTATAGACTTGCAGCATAAGAAATAAACACACAAAACTTTTTAAAGTGCCATAAATGCGTAGTTTCTGCAAAATATGTTAAAATCTGTAACAATTTGTTGTTATGTATTTATTTTAATATGAATGTTGTTTAGATTAAGTTTATATTTAAAAACATGTCTAGCTTGTAGTGTTAGATATGTATTGCAAAACTCCCGCCTATTCTCCAAAGTTGTAGAAGATTCTCGAGAGTAAAAATCAACAATATATCTATATACGTAAACGCTTTAACAAGTATTGTTACGTAAGACCGAATTTTCTAGAAAACTTTCTCACGGCTATAAATATAAGCAACGCGACGCGCCAAGGAGAGTGTCTATTATTAGTTCGCTGTAATTAAACAACAGTAGAATAATGGCATGAAAGAACGTAAAGGACCATTAACCTTAAACTTTGTATAATATTGGTTTTTTGTTGTTTTTTAAACACATCTAAAGAAATACAGTGGTGTAAAAACTCTTTTATATATTGTAGTTCTTTTACATATAAGTGGTAATATGAATGCAACGTTTTCTCATACTACAAGTTGGAAGATTTTTGTTTGATTGTTTTATAATTGGACGGAACTGTAACGTTAGTACCATGTTCCATTTTTCACATAATCACGTGACTCGTGTGCATCAAATATATAATCTAGTGACCTTCGTCGGTGAAAACAGTGTTCAAAACATTTTTCAGTCCTCTCCGTTCTCATTTGCTTCTCTTTGGTGAAAGAATACACTCGAAAAGTTTAAAACAAACGTAAAAAAAAAGTGATGTTAATTAGAAGAGAAATGGTGAGTAAAGAAATGTTTCTGTTTATGCTGACGGTTACGTTCGTATCTTATATATATATATTTGATAACTTTTAATATTCTGGCCATTATTATCCATTCCTAATAAGATAATAAAATGTTGTAAAATTTACCTAGAGTATTTTATTATTCATTTACCGTTGTTTTCTCTACGCGCAACTGAAATATCCTACATTATTTTTAGCAATCTCTACTTTAGTCGCTAGTGAAGATCTTAGCGAAATTGACTGGTATTCTAACTTTAAAAGTGGCCTCGCTGTAGCAGAAGTGGTGCAAGAGGAGGTTATGGTGGCGGAGACTTCCTTGTTGGAAGCGGGGACTTACACAGTGGAGAATTTTGTTGTAGAAGAGGAGAATATGGTGGAGGGATAAGAGGATATGGGGAAGGGCTTCCATATTGGAAGATGTGGTGGAAGACGAGAATATGGTGGCGGAAGTGGAGAGTACTGGGGTTGAGATTTAAGCGCTGAAGGATTTGGAAGACACGGATATGGCTGGTGGTGATGCACTTGTAGGTTTTTATAAAGTAATTGGTTTTGCTCCTTTTTTTAACGATTTAAGAAACGGGTTTTGATGAATCTTTGGTAGGTACATAATGTTTCTGTATCTTTCCAGGTTATTTTAGAAGATACATAATTATTGATAAAACCTTTTCGTTGGTGAAAATGGGGATAAAGTCATGCATTAGTAATAATCATTGGCAGGTATAACAGCTTGTGAGAAAAGAGTAAATTACAATTTCGTTGGTGAAAATGGGGATAAAGTCATGCATTAGTAATAATCATTGGCAGGTGTAACAGCTTGTGAACAAAGAGTAAATTACAATTTCGTTGGTGAAAATGACGATAAAGTCATGCATTAGTAATAATCATTGGCAGGTATAACAGCTTGTGAACAAATAGTAAATTACAATTTCGTTGGTGAAAATGACGATAAAGTCATGCATTAGTAATAATCATTGGCAGGTATAACAGCTTGTGAACAAATAGTAAATTACAATTTCGTTGGTGAAAATGAGGATAAATTCATGCATAAGTAGTGATCACTTGTTTTTAAACAAAGTTCCATTGACGTTTTGTTCTTCTCATAAAGGAGTGAAAACTGAGACCTGAAGAGACTGGAAATTTCAATTTTACTTGTTGGGCAGATACTTTATCCAACTAATCTACTATTTTACGTTATGCTTACACTTCTAGACAGTAATTTAATATTTAAAAATAAGTTGTAAATTCTCTCCTGAACTCTTAAAACAGAACCTATTCACTTTTTATGAATTTTCAACATTTGGAGGATTTACTGAGATTGCTCTAAATTTCGTTATAAATCCAAAATCAGTAAGAAAGTCAGTATTTCTCAGACATGTTTATTTATTGATGTAATAAACCTTTTATAGAGCAGTGAAAAAAGAAATTACATTCAGTTACTAAATTACTGCTAGCTCATTGACTGTCCCCTATTCTAAGTGCTGCAGTACGTATATTTTATAACACCAAACCAAAAACTAAATTACAATTGTTGGACGGATAAGAGATTGGGCTTTTGGTCGCTAATCGAACAACCTATACTTTACAGTGAAAAGTATTAAACTATGAATCAACAATGAAAAGAAAATTTACAATGCGAACTTTGGCACTTACTAAACATTTAAAACTTGATCAACATTTTTATATACAAATGTGGAATGTTAAGTATGGACCTAAAAAGACCTCTAAGGGTCTTTTGTCAGTAGGTTTAATAAAATAATAAAACAAAATAAGAACTAATATTGAATTACGTAAATAATAATAAAAGGTTTGACATGTATTTTCACATATAACGGGATTTTAAGATATCACACAATCATATACTTTTTTACACACACACATATATAAATACATATATATCGGATAATCATAAAGGTTTTACAGAGCTGTGTAACTGAAGGCGCCATTTATTGACATGATTTTCATATATATAAAGAACAGTCAAGACAATAAACATTCGGCGATGAAACTTTCTTCTGATGACATAAATCACATACATGAGAATCAGGAGCAGTTGAGGTACCCTGTTCAAGATTTTGTTCACTCGTATTAGCCTGAGAAGAATCTCTCAAAGGTCCGTCTTTAGCTGAATTTGTGATACGTAATCCATTTAAGGTTCTCTGATATTCTTCTTGCAAATGCTGCTTGTAAACTCGCTCTAAAAGAGGGTTTGGAAGATGTTCATACTCTTCATCTTCTGCGCATGCCACTAAAACAACTTGGTCAGAAAACGTCACACTTTTCTTTGTGCCTGTCCTTTTCTTTGGATGCTGATTTCTGATTTTATTTGAAGAAAACGGCTTTATTTCTTTGGGTACTCCATTCACTTCTTTGCGCTGTTGTTCATTCAATGAAAAGGTTGTAAACTTCTGCAGAGTTTTATCAGATATATTTGTGCAGAAAGAAACGCCTTCACTCACAAACGATGTTCCATTCTGGTTTATCTCAACGCTTGTGGGTAGAGCGGAATCTTTCCTCCTTCCAATTCCTTGTATTGTCACAGAGTGATCGGCAGTGGCTTCGGGTCGTTCAGATTCTGAAGAAGGCTGCAATACGTCTTTTGACGACTGACAGTTTTTTGGAGCATTCAAAGACGAATCAGAATTTGTATATTCGTTTGCTACAAGTTGAAAATCACAAGTTTTTAACCCTGAAGACAAAGCTGTTTTGTTTGCAGGAGAAATGTGCAGAATCTGACGGTGAACTGTTCTATTTCTACTCTGAACAACATTACTCTCTGGGGATCTTTGCATATTGTTACTATTTTCTTCTGAAGAGTATCTTTCAGTCAGAAAAGATTTGAAGATGTTCTGATCGATAGAAGTATTTTTCGTTTCAAACTCAAGAGAATTTTGAGTATTGATTGCATCACGAACAATATTGCTTTCGTTCTTCATTTCTTTCACTGGTTTTGGTTTTAACATTAATTCAAACTTCGAGGCCAGATTTTTTACCGAACATGATGTTATTGCATGTGGTTCGTCATGTCTTTCACCTGACGTGATGACAGTATCTGTGGCTTTTAGAACTTCAAAGTTCTTCGCAGGTGGTGACTGAGAAATTTCAGAGACCAACTTAATCTGTGTACATAAAAAATTAAAATTAATATATAATTGTCATGAGACAACCATATTATTTAATAGATTTCGAACGTTTTGTCAAACTACATTTACATATTCAATAAAAAAACTCCGTTTTCCAAAAAAAAAACAATTAAAAATAGATTTATTTAAAATAAAGTGCAAACAAGAAAATCTCAACGATAACCAAGTGTTAATTTTACTGTTTAAGCTACAGATGTTTGTGCAGATAAAAAGGATTTACGAATAACTAGCCAAAGAACTAACAAACAGACCGAATTATCTTCCAATCTCTGATTCTTTCCTGTTTCAAAGCAGTTCTTCTGAAGTATTTTCTTGGGGAGAGCAGGATAGTTTTCTGTTTAATGAAAATAAATATATTAGATAATAAAAATATTATAACAGTTAAGATTGAATGATATTTCAACACTAAAAATAAAGTAATTTAACTGTTTTGAAATTTTAGAAGACTAACAGACCATTATGCCAATAGCTTAACAATTATTTCAAATAAACTTTAATCAATTTATTTGATGGTTACTTCCGATTATTCAAATCGTTGTTAGTTCGGATAATCATAGAGTAGTGCATTATAACCTAAAAAAGAAATGCATTGTTGCTAAAAAAGATATGAGTAGCATTGTTTGTTTGTAGTTATGCACAAAGCTACACAATGGGCTATCTGTGCTCTGCCCACCACGGGTTTAGAAAACCAGTTTCTAGCGTTGTAAGTCCGCAGACATATCGCTGTGCCACTGGGGGGGGGGGGCGAGAAGCATTAATTAGAGAAGTTGGTGAAGACAGAGAGAAACAGAGAACAATGGAGACCCATAGTCGTTGGCCCTTAGAATTGTGAAGGATTGATTGATTGTTCTTAAGAGACAACATATTAATAGTTTTATTTAAAATAACAGAAAGAAACAGAGAACAATAGAGAACCATAGTCGTTGGCCTTTAGAATTGTGAAGGATTGATTGATTTTTGTTAAGAGACAACATATCAAATAAGTCTATTTAAAATAACAGAGAGAAACAGTGAACAATGGAGAACCATAGTCGTTGGCCCTTAGAATTGTGAAGGATTAATTGAGTGTTGTTAACAGACAACATATTAATATTTTTATTTAAAATAACAGAGAGAAACAGAGAACAATGGAGACCCATAGTCATTAGCCCTTAGAACTGTGAAGGATTGATTGATTGTTGTTAGGAGACAACATATCAAATAAGTCTATTTAAAATAACAGAGAGAGAATGCAAATAAAAAATTTACCGAAGTTTATTGTTTCTGCATCTTTTGTTGGTTCTTTCTCTGAGTTTTTCTTTTGCAGCATTTGGAACTGTTTGTTTTGCAATTCTTGCAGCAATACATTCTCTCTTTGAGGCTGACTCGATGTTAATTGTTTCCTGAATTCATTCACTCCACATTTTCGTACTGGTTTTTGCGGTACATTTTGAGAGTCTTTTTCTTTTAGAGTTGATGATTGAAGCATTTTTTCCCGTTTCGTTTGAATTTCTTCTAGAAAAGCATTTGATACTGGTGAATTTTTGCTTTCTTGGAGCAGTTGACAAAATCCAGAATGAACTGAAAGCTGCTGAAATCCACTATTTAATTGTTCTTCTTGTGATGGAAGATCCAGAAACTGTCCTCCATTTGGCAAACTGGAAAATTCAGTGGGAGGGGGAGGAAGTGGTGGGTCGGGACATTTGGTTTCACTATTATATTCAAAGGACACTAAGGAATCAGGAGAGTGGATAAGGAGCATATGGTCTGGTGGCGGAGGAGGAAAGTCAATGTCATCTTTACCAAAATTACTCGTTGAGTCAGGTGAAAGTTGTGACAGCAGTTCATTTATATGTGGTGGATTCACTTTCACAAGTGAGCGTTGCTGAAAACTGTGTTTTTTTATAAATGCTCGGTGGGGTTGGTGAAATCCCCTACTTACATTAGACATTTGCAGATCTGAGGGGCATTCATTATTTTCTGTCACTTTGGGTTCTAAGGAGTTCGAAGAAAGCGGTGGTTTTATGACTTCAAAATCATCAAAACAATGTAGCTGAGGGTCATTTTGATTCTGTCCTTCTCTGAGGTCAGGCAAACTACGATTCTTCCTTCGCATGAATCCTCCCATTAGTTTTCTTCGGATCTTATGCTGTTTTTTGTTAGAGTGTTCATTTGTCTGCATTTGTAGTTCTTCCGATTTTACTACACTTTCCACTTTCGGAAAAGACTGGCCTGACCAAGTCCGATGAAGACAAGTTTTCTTGTTATAATCTTTTTTATTAGACGAGTCTAAAACGCCGTGTTCTTTTGGAACCAAGCAATGTTCTACAAATTCTTGCATGTTCTTTGTTTGTACTTTTATTTCAGATGGTACTTCTAACTTTTTATACTTTGCTCGAGTAAATACTTTCATTTGGTCTGATTCTTGACTGGTAACTTCAGCTTTAATCGCTTCTTTGTGCTTCTCAACGAAATCTCTGCAAGTGTGGCTTTCATCTGTACTTTTAGGTGGACTTTTACGCTTACTACTTTTCTTTGGGAGTGTGGCATATATCTCAATCGTTCTTCCAGGCTTAACATCAAAATCAGCCATAATTTGCTTGCCACTCGAGCTGTCTTTGCTTCCTTGCCGGCTGTGGGAGCCAGAAGAACCATCTTTACTTCCTTGTCGACTGTGGCGTCCATGTGTACTATCTCGACTAGACTGCCGGCTGTGGTGTCCTTCAGTGCTTGAAATCTCTTTTTGCTTTCTTCTTTCTTCTACCTCCGCCTCCTTCAGACGCTTATGAAGACTAGAAGATCTCATCACACAGAAGCTATGCTTCATCTTTGCAGAAACCAGTGACTGTGCGTTATTGTATGGGGCATCCATAGCAGCTCTTGCTTTTGCTGTAATAAAGAATATATGAAATATATTTATTTTGATACACAATCTAACTCTACATTTGTAGAAAAAACACATTAATAAAGCTGCTGCAAAAATCATGAACATCAACATTTGAGAAAGAATACTTCTATTATCAAAGTGTTTGGTTGGACAGTAGTAGATATACTGAGGTTTTATCACACCTTATATAAGAACGATATTCCAGGTTTCGTACT